CTTTGGCTGCAATCTCTCACCGAAATTGTGGGTCTCTTAACTAATCTCTTTGCCTTCACCACACCCGTTTAATCTTTCCTCCTTTCCCACTGTGAGGCAGAGCTTTCTAAAGCTAAGTCTGGCCATCTTACTCCTGCATTTAATACCTTCTAGTAGCACACCCTCGTGGCCTGCAAGACAGCATCCTGATGCCTTAGTGCAGCCCACGGGCCCCTCCTGGCCCGACTCTTCCCTACCTTACCTTCCACTTCTTCCTCTGTGTGCTCTCTGCCTCACCGTGCTGAGCTGCATGTCGGTGTCAGCAAGTTTTATGTTGCCCACCACTCCACTCATATGCACATTATTGCTGCCTGGAGTGTCCTTTCATCCTTGTCCACTTTTTAAACTCAACTATCTTGTAGGAAGTAGCTCCAAAATCCCCGCCTCTGCAGAGCTGTATCTAATTCTGCAGGCGGTGGGTCACTGGCCCTCTTCTGCAGCCTCATTAGACTGTGTGTACACTTCTATTTGGCACCTACACAAGGCAGTGCATTTATTTGGTTACTTCCCTGACTCCCTCCCTGGACTGTGACTAGAGGGTTGGACTAAATATTAGTTAATAAAGAGTCTCAGCTCCTCATGCAATGCCTGGCACATAGTAAATACTCAATACTGGTTAGAGAAAAAAGGAAGGAATAAAATGAAACTGTTCTTTTTCTTTTGAAAGGGAAGGAGATCTTCTCACCACGTGGCTGTGCCCGGCGGCCCTGGTGGGCCTGTACCACCTCCTGCACTGGTACCGGGAGAGACAGGTGGTGAGCCACCTCCGGGACAAGTACGTATTCATCACGGGCTGTGACTCGGGCTTCGGGAACCTGCTGGCCAGGCAGCTGGACCTGTGAGGACTCAGGGTGCTGGCTGCGTGTCTGACCGAGAAGGGGGCCCAGAAGCTGAAGGGCCAGACGTCAGATAGGGTGGAGACGGTGATCCTGGATGTCACCAACACACAGAGCATCGCTGCGGCCACCCAGTGGGTGAAAGAGCGTGTGGGGGACAGAGGTAGAGAGAATTATTTTCTTCTTTCATTACTTAGGCATGAAGATGTTAAAGTTATATATATATATATATCAAATATATAATATATATATATGTAATATATCACATATTTTATATATATATAAAATTTCAAAAGCAGGGCTTAAATGCTGGCTTTGTCATTTGAAAGGCAGTCTTGATCTTTTGTGGTGTTTCATTTTCTTAACAATTTCACGTTGAAAAATGAACCCAATGGATTTGATGCTGTTATCCCCCCTTGCAAGTAGAATGTTTACAACCACAATTCTTTGCTTGAAGAATTTTCAGGGTGTTCTTTAGAAACTGATTCTTCTTCCCT